TTTCTCCACTGTGATACTATTTTTCCCGAGCGAATGACGTTGGATAGTGTTGCCGACTCGTCATCGTAGAGGGCTTCCAAGCCAAAGAGGTCACGCGTAAACTACCGTGATCAGTTAGCTGTATATTCTGGACAGCTTCTATAAGGCTACTACTGCCACTCCGTTGAAAGTGCAGGTTACGTATAATCGTTATAAAAACCTGCCCAGGCAAGCGACTGAGCCATATTACTGGTCAGATGACGGCAACTTTAAGTGATTATCCCGATTAAGACCTAATCCAAAATCAAGCGCCCTACAAACCCTCTCAAAGTCTCCCGCAGGAAGTAGCCGCTTGGAAAACGAAATGCCTAATATTTGTTCGCCTACAAATTCATTCACTACTTCTTTCCTATGCGTATCTATATCCGTCTTTCACTATATATCGATCTTTTGCACAGTAATTTCGAACAAGTACAGTTCATACCTCGGAATTAGTGCCTTTGCTTCTTCTGCAGTTTCTGGACATAAATTCGCTAGTTGAGCAATCTCGAACTTATGCAGATTTTTCGCGCTAAGTAGTCTAAAACAGTCATCACGATATACGTTAATCGCTGAACGGCCTAGTACAACAGATTAACGTTAGCTTACTGTCTGAGAGCGCGGATCGTGTCACGGTTTTTGAACTTGCCGATCTCTTGTGTGTAATCGAATGTCTTCATGACGAACTCGGACATGTAAAAGTTATCATCCATCGACTCTGACTGATGACGTCGACACTCCAGTAACAGATACACTTCAGATATGAATAGCGTTTCGGCATTTTCGAATACTAAATGAAAGAGTGTAAATATCGAGGTAGTTTCAATAATTCGCATAGGATTTAAATTAAGCGATAAATCACATATTTACCTGACTTACTAAGTGCCCACTACATCTGAAAAGAATGTTTTTACTTTTGGAATAATTCCATATTAAGGAGGTTTCTAAAGGATCAAGGCTGTCGCTAGAAACTGAAATTTATACGCTTTATAAATTTTACGTTTTCTACATCTACACATATGCTTTACTTTATTTGTCGATTAAATAGTTAAGTATAAAATCAAGGACTGTCAAAGTCCTGATGACCCATGGCAAAATCCAACACATTTAGCAAGTGAAGACGGCGAATCTCTGTGGGGTGGAGCAAAATTGATCTTGCTGCACGAGCTTCAGACTACGAAGCCAGATTCGTAACGGGTTCTTGACTCCACTAAGGAGAGAATAAAACGACGTTTAATCTCTTGCATATGTTTAACTGCGGATAAGTAACGCTGGAACAAAATACATTTGCGAATGATGAAAGTTGATATCTCCACCGCTCAAATGAAATCAGTGAATAACTTCATTTTCTAGCAAGAGAAACAAATGATACACATGCACGATCATAAACAGAAGCGAAATAAAAGAAATACAGCGCTGAGTTCTGATCAGAATTGACTGCGCAAATATTACAGTAACACGAATGAAACGCGCATTAAAAAACAACTATTAACATTAAGCATCGCTGAACAAACATCTCAGTCGTTAATTTACATGCACAGTTTTTTGTTATCATCATCTTTAGCCAAATAGTAGAACGAAAGGCTGCTTAACATCCGTAACATTTGCATTGCTTAACTTTCAGCATTTAGTCATGCACCGATATGCTAAAGCTTTCGTCAATATTTATGTTGCATAATCACCGAAAATATAATCCCTTACAAGAGCAGCAAAAATGAGGTTATTTAGAAGGATTGCTGGCGAGACGAGTCTCTAAGAGCTTTGGAACAAGCCAAGCCCTACGCATCGTTATCTATCTACGAACCGCCTCTTCAAGTGGAAAATTCTCAACTGCAATGACATCTACATGTGATCAGGCAACCAGAAGGAAAATTCACAAGGAAGTCAGTGAAAAATTGATCAGTCGGTGAAACGATAAAATAATGACAGTTGTGCTGAACATCTGAACTGTCGTGTTTTGTAGTCTAACCATTTGAGTGTATCTGACTGGCAAATGAACCAGAACATTAAAAACTTGAAGTGAAACTACTGACCTTACATCGCGGAAAGAAGCGAATGAGCGAAAACCTTTCGCTAAATTAAAAATATTCAGGCTTGCTTAATACTTCATTTCAGTTTCAGGCAACATTTCAGTTTCAATGTATTATCACTAAGTCAGTCCCAACACTTAAGCCTCTGCGCTGCCTCCTGTATATATACTGCATATTTCCTTTCTTCTTTAGTTCGTTCATTTATTTATTCATTTGGTCATGTATGTATTTATCCTTTCTTTCATTTCGTCACTCTTTCAGCATTAATGAATAGATAAATAAATTAAAGAAGAAATGAAATGAATCATTCTATCACGCGCGTCTACCTTTAAACAGCGCTTTCCTGTTCGAGTTAATTTTCACTACAATATCCATTCCTTCATCAAGCTCTCAATTTCTCATGCAGTTTCAACCTACCGACCCTGCTTCCGGTTCTTACTCTTTCTCTGCTATGGTATCAGCGTTCTGGTAAAATTTCTCCTGCAGTCAGCAGGTGACTTTCAATAACATAAGGTCAATAATGCCTGCTTTTGACCAGCTTTAATGATATAAGAGCTAATGCGAAAGTACCACGCTAGTGAATGTAACCAGACTGATCCTCGCTGACGAACAAATGAGTAGAAATGAGGAGATTCCTATGGGGTCGACGAGGAAAAGATTTTCGATTGTAAAGAGGTCAACGTTTAGTGAAATTAAAATGTGATATTCTAACCTCCGGTCACCCACCGGCCATCAGTAATAGAATATTCTGTTTTCTGCAGAAGAGCACCTCTGACGTATCCGTGATGTTGGATGATTCAACAGCTGATGACTTATGATGCCACAGTACAACGTTATGCTTAACCGACAGTCACCGGCGATTGAGAAGACGCATGGTATCTTTCCTTTTATTAACGGCCAATCTGATTAACAAAAAATTCGCGCAGGCTAAACAAATCCAAAATTGATCTATGAAGAAACAGTGACAGAATACTTCAGGACGTTTATAGTTGAACAGTTTAAAGAAGAATTTTAATTAACTACACTGTGTCGAGACTAATAAAGAATTTTCTGAGTTCATAGAGCAAAGGATTCACAACCGAACGATAAAGCGTAAAAATCGCAATCCTGTCACTCGCCTCTGGTCCTACAGAGGTCAACAAATGAATACACTATGCTGGAAGCGAAATGGGTCACTACAGGTTACAGTTTCTACGCACCTGTAATATAGATTTTATAACAACTTACTGCTGGCTGATGATAGAGAAACGCAGATCAGTGCCACAGGATAAGCTGCTTAAAAATGCGTCACAAATGATCAGTGAAGGGGAGGAGTTCTCAATCTGACTAAAGGAGGGGACAATTGCGGCAGGACTGGAAATAGACTGCATTTTGAGTGAGCGGGTTAAAATCCTAGCGCGAAGCGCAATTTTTTTTCTTGTTAACAGCTTATTTCCTTGAGCAAGCAAATTCACCCGTGTTTAACTACAACCAGTCAAAAAAGAGCTGCAATTTCTTGATACGAGAACAACAGAGGCAACATGATTTTGCCAGAGCGTGCGATCGCTGTTTCTTGTATCAGCTCTTGATTTTACCAATCTCGCAGCGTAATTTCACCCATTTCTTAGCTGAACAAATATCAGGACAAAGTATATTTATATACAGTTATAAACAAAATACCTCGCTACTGCTACAAACGTTCGTTCTTCGTTCCTTAACGGACGAATTGGCAAAAAGTAAAACTCGTAGATTAATGCATCCCAACTAATTTTAAGATTCGCAAGTTTCAGGTTGTAGCTTCAGGGGTATTAAACACGACTACAGCAATAATGGGTCCATGGGCTCGATTCCAAGATGGAAAGGTTTCCAACACTCCATTTAATCGATTCATCACGTTCGTTCCGCCACCTTTTCCCATGTGGATCAGGCAAAAGGATTCGTCTTGAGAATCTATTCGCCAATGTGTAATCATATGTTCAGGTCATGGC